TACTCCCTGGCCACCCATGACTGCTTGGCCAGGCACGTCTCCAACACCATCATTAAGTTTGCCGACGACACAACAGTGGTAGACCTGATCACCGACAACGATGAGACAGCCTATAGGGAGGAGGTCAGAGACCTGGCCGTGTGGTGCCAGGATAACAACCTCTCCCTCAACGTGACCAAGACAAAGGACATGATTGTGGACTACAGGAAAAAAAAGAGGACTGAGCACGCCCCCATTCTCATCGACGGGGCTGTAGTGGAACAGGTTGAGAGCTTCAAGTTCCTTCGTGTCCACATCACCAACAAACTATCATGGTCCAAACACACCAAGACAGTCGTGAAGAGGGCACAACAAAGCCTAATCCCCCTCAAGAGACTGAAAAGATTTGGCATGGGTCCTCAGATCCTCTCAAAATTCTACAGCTGCACCATCGAGAGCATCCTGACTGGTTGCATCACCGCCTGGTATGGCAACTGCTTGGCCTCCGACCGCAAGGCACTACAGAGGGTAGTGCGTACGGCCCAGTACATCACTGGGGCCAAGCTTCCTGCCATCCAGGACCTCTATACCAGGCGGTGTCAGAGGAAGGCCCTCAAAATTGTCAAAGACTCCAGCCACCCTAGTCATAGACTGTTCTCTCTGCTACCGCACGGCAAGCGGTACCGGAGTGCCAAGTCTAGGTCCAAAAGACTTCTCAACAGCTTCTACCCCCAAGCCATAAGACTCCTGAACAGCTAATCATGGCTACCCGGACTATTTGCACTGCCCCCCCACCCCATCTTTTTTACGCTGCTTCTACTCTGTTAATTATTTATGCATAGTCACTTTAACTCTACCCACATGTACATATTACTTCAACTACCTCAACTAGCCGGTGCCCCCGCACATTGACTCTGCACCGGTACCCCCCTGTATATATAGCCTTCCTACTGTTATTTTATTTTACTTCTGCTATTTTTTTCTCAACACTTTTTTTGTTTGTTTTATTTTACTTTTTTATTAAAAATAAATGCACTGTTGGTTAAGGGCTGTAAGTAAGCATTTCACTGGCCTTGAAATACATCCTCAGGTACACCTCCAATTGACTCAAAGGATGTCAATTAGCCTATCAGAAGCTTCTAAAGCCATGACATCATTTTCTGAAATTTTCCAAGCTGTTTAAAGGCACAGTCAACTTAGTGTATGTAAACTTCTGACCCACTGGAGTTGTGATACAGTGAATTATAAGTTAAATAATCTGTCTGTAAACAATTGTTGGAAAAATTACTTGTGTCATGCACAAAGTAAATGTCCTAACCGACTTGCCAAAACTATAGCTTGTTAACAAGACATTTGTGGAGTGGTTGAAAAACGAGTTTTAATGACTCCAACCTAAGTGTATGTAAACTTCCGACTTCAACTCTAAGCATCTATCCTCAATCTGTGCTTGGAGATTTTAATGTTGTAGAAATATCCCTTAATCTGGATGGTCTCCCTTTGTTAAAAAATACCAATATGTCGTTATGGCCACTTTTGTGCTCCATCAATCTATCACCACCCACAGTGTTTCCTCTGTCACTTGCAATTGCATCATCGAAACTAAGCTCCCTGGAATTCCTCAATGACACTTTGCTGTAGCTTAAAGAGTTGATGCAGACCGGCTTGAAATGGGGAGACAAAACACTGCAAGTGAAAGTTTGTTCTGTAACGTGATGCACCTGCAAAAGCCATAGTAAAATGCATAAAGATGTATTCTGGCTACTATGGCTGTGACAGGTGCACACAAAAAAGGCAGGTATGATGGGAGGATTACGTACCCGCAGTTAAAAAAAACCTGTTTCTCAGAACTGACAAATCCTTCAGGGAATTGGTACAGCCAGAACATCACCATGAAGGGAAAACCTCTCCTCCACATTGATATGGTGAAGTCATTCCCAATTGACTATATGCACCTTTGTTGCCTCAGAGTAACCCGGAAGCTCTTGATGATGTGGACTAGGGGAAAGACTGGGGCCAAGTTGTAGTTGGTGCAAGTCAAGGAGGTCAGTCAACGACTAAACCGACTAAAGGATTCAATTCCAGACTGCTTTGCTCGCAAACCACGGGGATTGGATGACCTTGACCGTTGGAAGGCCACAGAATTCAAACAGTTTCTACTCTATACTGGGAAAGTAGTCCTGAGAATAATCTTGTCTAAAGAACAGTACACACACTTCATGGCCTTCAGTGTTGCCATGTGCATTTTAATCCACAGTGCCTATGGTCATGCTTTACTGAACTTCTTTGTGGAGAAGGGAAGGGTTTTGTATTGAGACACATTTCTTGTGTATAAGGTTCACTCCCTCCTACACCTCACTGCTGATGCTGAAGAACACGGCTGCCTTGACAACTGTAGTGCTTTCAAGTTTGAGAACTAAAGTACCAGTCAAAAGTTTGGACACCTACTCATTCAAGGGTTAACTTTATTTTTACTATTTTCTACATTGTAGAATAATAGTGAAGACATCAAAAATTTGAAATATCATGTAGTAACCAAAAAAGTGTTAAACAAATCAAAATATATTTTATATTTGAGATTCTTCAAATAGCCACCCTTTGCCGTGATGACAGCTTTGCACACTCTTGGCATTCTCTCTCTCTAAAGAAGATGGTCCGTTCAGGGAGGTGGCCACTTGTGCAAATTTGTAAAAGAGTGCAAGAACGCACCATAGAGCTTCTCCCCGCGAACAGGTCATCAAAATGAGACGGCCAAACAATGCCTACATACTTAATGATAGGTCATGCTGTGAGGTAGTGAGCCAAGAAGATGCCTCTGATACTTAACTCTGCAGGGTGTTTCAGCATCTGGAATCTTACACGCTGAGTCTGTGTGACTCAAGACTGTATTGGACTTTCCACCCCACTACAAGGAGCGCACACATGCGTCTCATTGCAAAGAGCAATCTTGTTAAGCGAGCTATTATACTTGAAGAGGACCATGGCACTCATGATGTGCTTACCATCTTGCACAGCCTGTAGCATGCCCCATTTAGCTACATCCAAGTTCACAAGCTGTATTAGTTTTGCAAACTATCTTGGCTGGTAAATGAAGAGACTGAACAATGTGGAATTGCTGTTTTGTTTTTCTGCACAGGGCACACAGCATTATTATGTTGTACATTTTGTAAAAGAGACCACTGTTGAAGTTGTACCAGACCTGTAGGTGGAGAAGAGAGGTGGGGTGAGTTGATCAGTTAAATAGTTTACCCTTTTCAGGCAAAGAGATGGATAAATAGTTAACTTTAAACAGTGTCTCATATCTTGCAGGACCTGTGTTGCTACTGGCCAAGAAATGCCAGCGCAACAATGATTAAGAGAGGAGACCGGCCTGACATTTTTATGGGAGAAGTACAGAATTTCCATCTTTTCATCCACTGGTAAAATATTATTTTACTGTATCCATCCACTCCTGTTTATACTGCCATGTATACTTGATTGTGTGGCTCTGGAGCAGGTTGCGTCAGTTGAACATACTCCTATATGTAAGGCTAGTTTCAACGTAGAATATGTTCTAAGCCAGGCGTAAACCTGTGTCACCACCTGGTTGTAAGTAATAGTTTTTACATCCTGGCGTAGCAAAAGCTAAGTGTAATGTGGGGTAGACATATAGTATGAATCTATAACTAGTTTCCAAGGTAAGTGTTTCATGACTAGTCATGTCACATCTTGTTACATTTTCTAAATCATTACGTCGGGCATAGGTAGGCCCAACTTATCTCTTACACCTTATTAGCGTCCACCTGGTGCAACCCACTCCTGGTCAGTAGAGTCAGTAACTTCCCCCTCTTAAGTACTATATTTTTTATTTTATTTTATTTCACCTTTATTTAACCAGGTAAGCCAGTTGAGAACAAGTTCTCATTTACAACTGCGACCTGGCCAAGATAAAGCAAAGCAGTGTGATAAAAACAACAACACAGAGTTACATATGGAATAAACAAAAACAAAACGTACAGTCAATAACACAATAGAAAATCTATATACAGTGTGTGCAAATGTAGTACGTTATGGAGGTAAGGCAATAAATAGGCCATAGTGCAAAATAATTACAATTTAGTATTAACACTGGAATGATAGATGTGCAGAAGATGATGTGTAAATAGAGATACTGGGATGCAAATGAGCAAAATAAATAACAATGTAAATAACAATATGGGGATGATGTAGTTGGGTGGGCTAATTACAGATGGGCTGTGTACAGGTACAGTGATCGGTAAGCTGCTCTGACAACTGATGCTTAAAGTTAGTGAGGGAGATAAGTGTCTCTAGCTTCAGAGATTTTTGCAGTTCGTTTCAGTCATTTGCAGCAGAGAACTGGAAGGAATGGCGATCAAAGGAGGTGTTGGCTTTGGGGATGACCAGTGAGATATACCTGCTGGAACGCATACTACGGGTGGGTGTTGCTATGGTGACCAATGAGCTAAGATAAGGCGGGGATTTGCCTAGAAGTGATTTATAGATGACCTGGAGCCAGTGGGTTTGGCGACAAATATGTAGTGAGGGCCAGCCAACGAGAGCGTACAGGTCACAATGGTGGGTAGTATATGGGGCTTTGGTGACAAAACGGATGGCACTGTGATAGACTACATCAATTTGCTGAGTAGAGTGTTGGAAGCTATTTTGTAAATGACATCGCCGAAGTGAAGGATTGGTAGGATAGTCAGTTTTACGAGGGCATGTTTAGCAGCATGAGTGAAGGAGGCTTTGTTGCGAAATAGGAAGCCGATTCTAGATTTCACTTTGGATTGGATATGCTTAATGTGAGTCTGGAAGTAGAGTTTACGGTCTAACCAGACACCTAGGTATTTGAAGTTGTCCACATATTCTAAGTCAGACCCGCCGAGAGTAGTGATTCTAGTCGGGCGGGCGGGTGCAAGCAGCGTTTTTATATGTATTTGCTGAAAGTATTACTATGTGAATTACTAATTCTCAATTGACCCTGTTTTGCCAGTGTTATGACTATGTTTATTGCACGGACAGATAATTACTCTGTGGCAGAGCAACGAGCCAAATGGAGGGTTGACACCTCCAATGTTGAATCTGACGAGGAACCAGCGAAGAGGGCGGTGACTAAACCAATCAGATTCCGTGTAGAGCCACCTGGTGAGGATTTCTTAACTACTCTTATTCCATTGTGTGTACTACATGCATCAGGAAGTAGATTAAAGTAATGACTATTCTTTTGTATTGTGCTTCGTAAGATGATGATGGAAGTGAAGCACTCCAGAAAAAGACAAATGAACCCAGACAAGCCCAGCTTCCAGTGCCCCAGCTTCCACCAGCCCCTAGTGGTAAGATCCTGCATTAGGCTACTAGGTCATTAAATGTATAATCAGCAAGTTGATGGTAAGTTTGACACACATTCAAGTATGTGGGTGAAGAAAAGCTTACAGTTAATGCAAGTACTAGTCTTAAATTGTAGAGACGACATGAAATCATAACCTAATGACAGTTGATATGACAAGAAATGACTACACCCATCTGATCTTGACATACTTGATTAGTAGTCAAATTACCAAAGTGTAACAGTTCTTTTTTTCTTTCTATTATGCAACTACAAGAGCCAGTGTCTTTGAAAATACCCTACAAGGTACATCATGTTTTAAATGTTTCAAGTCTGATAAACGAGCCTAGTTCTCAAAGTTCTGTTCCCACCAACTGAATGGGATGGACAGGAAAATCTGTTAAGCATGTACTGTCAATGTGGTAACGGTTTGACATCTGTGATATTCTCTGAAGTTGCAGATGCAGAGGACTTGAGACCCTGTGCCACCTCAAGCCAGAGCGACAGTAAGTGTCTGGTTGTAATTAGTTATGGTAAACAATTGAATTGTATTAAGTATTATAGCTTTACAAACCTTTCAAAGCCACTCAATAGAATACAATTACCATCACGTTTGCATATTAGGTTATTTAAAGTATTATTACTACTTTGTGCATAATGTTAGAACTTTCCAAATAGTTGTGGTGCTGTGTACGGGTGAAGCTTGTACTGACAGTAATGAAATCACCATATTCGTCTGGGGTAAAACACAAGTGTGATGCCATGTTTGTAAATATCTGTATGTATTTGCCATCAAACTAAAGCATGATTTAAAACACACAATTATGCTTAGGATTTATTTTTGTTGGGATTCATTAACCTTCCCACTGAGCTCCTGACTGACATCCCTTCACTTTTGGATCTGTGCTAGTTGCAAAAGCATGCAAAGTATGTCTTACATTTTTTTCCCCTTCTGTTTTCTAAGTTAGTCCAAGTGTAGAGGAGGAGGCGATGGGGTGAGGTTGTGTTCCTCTAAGCGGGGAGGTAAGCTTGGCTTCTTCTTTATATGTGTCGAGTAAAGCTCAAACCATGCATTTAGATTGTAGTTAGGTATTGTAGGTAGTTTATCCAGGTAGTTATTGTAGGTAGTTATTGTAGGTAAGTATTGTAGTGTATTCGGCTGAGCCCGTGAAGCACGAGGCTAGCTAGCTAACCCACTACCTGGACCAATAAAGCTAGCTAGTTAGCTAGCGGGTAGCTACTGGTAATTTGGTAACTGTTAGCAACTGTGGATAGTTGTTTCCAATGTTATTTCACGCTTAAGAGTACCTGTAATTATTGTAGGTAGGTATTGTAGATAGTTTATCTAGGTAGTTATTGTAGGTAGTTATAGCCAACTTTACCAGCTAGCAGTCAACACCGCAGCCACTGCTAGCTAGCCAACCTTACCAGCTAGCAGTACTGTAGCAACCAAATACATTTCATCGGAACGATTTGATTAGTGTAAAGTTAGCTAGCTACATAGTTGTCTTGGTATCAAAGACAAAGGTGTTGTATAGAGAAACTATCGAGGTTAGCTAGCCAGCTCTTTTTCGAACAGTCAACACCGCAGCCACTGCTAGCTAGCCAACATTAACAGCTAGCAGTACTGTATCATTTTAGTCAATGAGAATTTGGAACGTAAGCTTCACTTTCTGAACATTCGAGATGTGTAGTCCACTTGTGTAGCTAGTATGACTGACTTTGTGCTAGCTAGCCAACGTTTAATTACTTCTGCGTTATGAAAGGAACTAGACACGGACATGAAACGATCCATTGGTAGTTTGTTGTAACCAAGTATTGGTGCTAAACCGTGTGTTATTGGATGCTAGCATGCTAGTTAGCTATGGCGTCATAGGATACAGTGCCCTGGGCAGTTTTCACAGAAGAATACTGTACCAGGTTAGCTAGCTGAATAAACTAAATTAGTCTATTCCTGGAAACATTGAACTACTGTAGATTACAGCAATTATAATTTCTAAAGTGGAAGTTGGAAGAGTTGTATTTGAGTGTTTCAGTGAAAGGTTAGTGAGGGAGGCCTCGCTTCCCCAGATGTTTAGTTAATTTCATTCCTTTGCATTAGTGTAGCCTTTTCTGTAGCCTGTCAACTATGTGTCTGTCTATCCCTGTTCTCTCCTCTCCGCACAGGCCATACAAACGCCTCACACCGCGTGGCTGCTGCCTCTCTAACCTGGTGGTCCCTGCATGCACGACCCACGTGGAGTTCCAGGTCTCCGGCAGCCTCTGGAACTGCCGTTCTGCGGCTAACAAGGCAGAGTTCATCTCAGCCTATGCTACCCTCCAGTCCCTCGACTTCTTGGCGCTGACGGAAACATGGATTACCACAGAAAACACTGCTACTCCTACTGCTCTCTCCTCGTCTGACCATGTGTTCTCGCATACCCCGAGAGCATCTGGTCAGCGGGGCGGTGGCACAGGAATCCTCATCTCTCCCAAGTGGACATTCTCTCTTTCTCCCCTGACCCATCTGTCTATCTCCTCATTTGAATTCCATGCTGTCACAGTCACTAGCCCATTCAAGCTTAACATCCTTATCATTTATCGCCCTCCAGGTTCCCTTGGAGAGTTCATCAATGAGATTGACGCCTTGATAAGTTCCTTTCCCTAGGGTGGCTCACCCCTCACAGTGCTGGGTGACTTTCACCTCCCAACGCTACCTTTGACTCATTTCTCTCTGCCTCCGTCTTTCCACTCCTCTCTTCTTTTGACCTCACCCTCTCACCGTCTCCCCCTACTCACAAGGCAGGCAATACGCTTGACCTCATCTTTACTAGATGCTGTTCTTCTACTAATCTCACTGCAACTCCCCTTCAAGTCTCCGACCACTACTTTGTATCCTTTTCTGTCTCGCTCTCCTCCAACACTACTCACTCTGCCCCTACTCAGATGGTAATGCGCCGTCGCGACCTTCGCTCTCTCTCTCCAGCTACTCTCTCCTCTTCCATCCTATCATCTCTTCCCTCTGCTCAATTCTTCTCCATCCAATCTCCCGATTCTGCCTCCTCAACCCTCCTCTCCTACCTTTCTGCATTTTTTGACTCTCTATGTCCCCTATCCTCCCGGCCGGCTCGGTCCTCCACTCCTGCTCCGTGGCTTGACGACTCATTGCGAGCTCACAGAACAGGGCTCCGGCTAGCCGAGCGGAAATGGAGGAAAACTAGACTCCCTGCCGACCTGTCATCTTTTCACTCCCTCCTCTCTACATTTTCTTCCTCTGTTTCTGCTGCTAAAGCCACTTTCTACCTCTCTAAATTTCAAGCCTCTGCTTCTAACCCTAGGAAGCTCTTTGCCACCTTCTCCTCCCTCTCTGAGGATGACTTCGTCAATCATTTTGAAAAGAAGGTTGACGACATCCGATCCTTATTTATTAAGACAAATGACACCGCTGGTCCTGCTCACACTGCCCTACCCTATGCTTTGACTTCTTTCTCCCCTCTCTCTCCAGATGAAATCTTGTGACTTGTGACGGCCGGCCGCCCAACAACCTGCCCGCTTGACCCTATCCCCTCCTCTCTTCTCCAGACCATTTCCGGAGACCTTCTCCCTTAACTCACCTCGCTCATCAACTCATCCTTGACCACTGGCTATGTCCCTTCCGTCTTCAAGAGATCGAGAGTTGCACCCCTTCTCAAAAAACCTTCACTCGATCCCTCCGATGTCAACAACTACAGACCAGTATCCCTTCTTTCTTTTCTCTCCAAAACTCTTGAGCGTGCCGTCTTTAGCCAACTCTCTTGCTATCTCTCTCAGAATGACCTTCTTGATCCAAACCAGTCAGGTTTCAAGACTGGTCATTCAACTGAGACTGCTCTTCTCTGTGTCACGGAGGCTCTCCGCACTGCTAAAGCTAACTCTCTCTCCTCTGCTCTCATCCTTCTAGACCTATCTGCTGCCTTTGATACTGTGAACCATCAGATCCTCCTCTGCACCCTCTCCGAGTTGGGCATCTCCGGCGCGGCTCACTCTTGGATTGCGTCCTACCTGACAGGTCGCTCCTACCAGGTGGCGTGGCGAGAATCTGTCTCCGCACCACATGCTCTCACCACTGGTGTCCCCCAGGGATCAGTTCTAGGCCCTCTCCTATTCTCTCTATACACCAAGTCACTTGGCTCTGTCATATCCTCGCATGGTCTCTCCTATCATTGCTACGCAGACGACACACAATTCATCTTCTCCTTTCCCCCTTCTGGTAACCAGGTGGCGAATCACATCTCTGCATGTCTGGCAGACATATCAGTGTGGATGTCGGATCACCACCTGAAGCTGAACCTCGGCAAGACGCAGCTGCTCTTCCTCCTGGGGAAGGACTGCCCGCTCCATGATCACGGTTGACAGTGCTGTTGTGTCCTCCTCCCAGAGTGCAAAGAACCCTGGCGTGACACTGGACAACACCCTGTCGTTCTCCGCTAACATCAAAGCGGTGACCCGATCCTGTAGGTTCATGCTCTACAACATTCGCAGAGTACGACCCTACCTTACACAGGAAGCGGCACATGTCCTAATCCAGGCACTTGTCATTTCCCGTCTGGATTACTGCAACTCGCTGTTGGCTGGGCTCCCTGCCCGTGCCATTAAAACCCTACAACTCATCCAGAACGCTGCAGCCCGTCTGGTGTTCAACCTTCCCAAGTTCCCTCATGTCACCCCGCTCCTCTGCAAACTCCACTTGCTTCCAGTTGAAGCCCGCATCTGCTACAAGACCATGGTGCTTGCCTACGGAGCTGTGAGGGGAACGGCACCTCTGTACCTTCAGGCTCTGATCAGTCCCTACACCCAAACGAGGGCATTGCGTTCATCCACCTCTGGCCTGCTGGCCCCCCTACCTCTGCGGAAGCACAGTTCCCGCTCAGCCCAGTCAAAACCGCTGCTCTGGCACCCCAATGGTGGAACAAGCTCCCTCACGACTCCAGGACAGCGGAGTCACTCACCACCTTCCGGAGACACTTGAAACCCCACCTCATTAAGGAATACCCTGGATAGGATAAAAGTAATCCTTCTACCCCCTCCCCAAAACAAAAATAATTAATTATATATATATATATATATATTGTAAAGTGGTTGTCCCACTGGCTATCATAAGGTGAATGCACCAATTTGTAAGTCGCTCTGGATAAGAGAGTCTGCTAAATGACGAAAATGTAAATGTAAATGGTAGTCAGGAAGAAGCTGGCCAAGACAGAGCATCAGAATCAGGTTTCTTTAGCCATCAAGGTATTGATCTCGAAATCGTAAATGTAGAAAATTTAAATAACAGCATGAATTTGTACTTATATTTTAGACCAAGAGCTGCCATCCCTGCTTGATGAGCCCGTGGCTTCTGAGATGCCCGCTGGATACATTAATGGTATATTATGCTAGCCTATATGTTAAAACATGTTGCTTCTCTTGTATTATCAACATCAATTCCAAATTGTATGGCTGTCAGCAGCTATATGGTTATCAATACTACTAATATATATGAAGGGTGGATATTTTGAACGAGGTATTTCACATGGCCTTCATACATGTCCTGCCTGGTACTCATGGCTTGTACAGTGGCTTGCGAAAGTATTCACCCCCCTTGGCATTTTTCCTATTTTGTTGCCTTACAACCTGGAATTAAAATTGATTTTGGGGGGGTTTGTATCATTTGATTTACACAACATGATTTGAAAAAACAAGTAATAAGAGAAATAAACAGAACTTCAGCATGCATAACTATTCCCCCCCCCCCTCCCAAGACAAGTCAATACTTTGTAGAGCCACCTTTTGCAGCAATTACAGCTGCAAGTCTCTTGGGGTACGTGTTTGCTTATTTTTGTCTTTAAGCAATGGCTTTTTTCTGGCCACTCTTCCGTAAAGCCCAGCTCTGTGGAGTGTACGGCTTAAAATGGTCCTATGGACAGATGCTCCAATCTCCATTGTGGAGCTTTGCAGCTCCTACAGGGTTATCTTTGGTCTCTTTGTTAAATAAAATAAAATAAATAATTGGTCATTTAGCAGACGCTCTTATCCAGAGCGACTTACAGGAGCAATTAGGGTTAAGTGCCTTGCTCAAGGGCACATCGACAGATTTTTCACCTAGTCGGCTCGGGGATTAGAACCAGCGACCTTTCGGTTACTGGCACAACGCTCTTAACCACTAAGCTACCTTGCCTCTCTGATTAATGCCCTCCTTGCCTGGTCCGTGAGTATTGGTGGGCAGCCCTCTCTTGGCAGGTTTGTTGTGGTGCCATATTCTTTCCATTTTTTAATAATGGATTTAATGGTGCTCCGTGGGATGTTCATAGTTTCTGATATTTTTTTATAACCCAACCCTGATCTGTACTTCTCCACAACTTTGTCCCTGATCTGTTTGGAGAGCTCCTTGGTCTTCATGGTGCCGCTTGCTTAGTGGTGTTGCAGACTCTGGGGCCTTTCAGGACAGGTGTATATTTACTGAGATCATGTGACAGATCATGTGATACTTAGATTGCACACAGGTGGACTTTCTTTAACTAAATATGTGACTTCTGAAGGTAATTGGTTGCACCAGATATTATTTAGGGGCTTCATAGCAAAGGGGGTGAATACATATGCACGCACCACTTTTCCATTATTTATTTTTTAGAATTTTTTGAATATTTTTATTTTTTTCAATTCACCAATTTGGACTATTTTGTGTATGTCCATTACATGAAATCCAAATAAAAATCCATTTAAATTACAGGTTGAAATGCAATAAAATAGGAAAAATGCCAAGGGGGATGAATACTTTTGCAAAGCACTGTATCGTCACGCCGCTTGCAGCTAAACTGTTGAGCATTATTTAGCATATCTTCAAGCAGTGGAGATGAGGATAATGGTGAAACTGGAGATGATCCGTACAGAGTTCAAGACTGCTCTGAACCAAGTTATGGAGGCCATAGAGGCCCGGCAGCCAAAGGAATCTGAGTCCTTGGGGTAACTTGAAATGCAGCAAAACCCTGCAGAAACAAATGAGGAACTGAAGGATATCTGTGAAACACTTAAAGACTCCCACTATCGAAAGTAAATGATAGGAATGGAAATGTAAAATGTTTGAAATCTATATCACGTATTTGAACAGCAATTGAAAAAAGTAAGTTAGCTGTTTATCAAGAGCCACTTGAATGCGACCAGATTTGAGAGAAGATTGCAACCTGCAATATTATTGAATCCAAATATCTTAATGTCAATGAAATTGTCCTCTGTAGCTCAGCTGGTAGAGCACGGCGCTTGTAACGCTAAGGTAGTGGGTTTGATCCCCGGGACCACCCATACACAAAAAAAAAAATATGCACGCATGACTGTAAGTTGCTTTGGATAAAAGCGTCTGCTAAATGGTATATTATTAAATGCATTTGTCATATATGACATATGCCTATTTAGTGTTTGGATTGATTTCCCAATTAACACTTAACTTATCTTAAGAAGAAACGATCAGCCCTCTGCCTGTTTACACAAGTTTTAGCCCATGATTACATGATCCACTACAAAAATGATTTCTCATTATTATCAATCAGAACTGAATGGCCAGCTGTTATAGCAGAGGAACACACAAATGAGTGGGATTATATATATATATATATTTTTTATCAGATCCGATACCTGACCCTCTGCTGTGGCCAGGACCTGGGCTCAGGAATCCGATGAATGATGAATGAAATTGGAACAGAGGAGCTGTGGACAGAGGAGCTGTGGACAGAGGACAGGGGAGCTGTGGACAGGCTACTGCTAGAAGGGCAGGAAGGGGAAGAGGGCCTTTAACTTCTTAAGGATCTGACCCTTTTTTTCAATTTACGCCGAAAATGACATACCCAAATCTAACTGCCTGTAGCTCAGGACCGAAAGCAAGAATATGCATATTCCTGATACCATTTGAAAGGAAACACTTTGAGGTTTGTGGAAATTTGAAGTTAATGTAGGGGAATATAACACATCTGGTAAAAGATAATACACAAAAACATGCGTTTTCTATAAAAAATATAAAAAATCCATCAGCTTTGAAATGCAAGAGAAAGGCCACAATATAATATTGCAGTTTAGGTGCAATTTTTGAGCAGTGTGTGTGCAAAGTTTCAGATTGATCCAGTGAAGCGTTGCAATACTGGACTATTTTGTGTCAAGTCTGCCCAAATGTGCCGAATTGGTCAATTAATACATTTTCAAGTACATACAGAGAACATACAAAAATGATATGGTAATACAAAATGTATGTTTACACACTCCCAGGAATGTCATACATGATGGATCATTAGCTTATACACTAACTTTCACACGTCTAGATGGCCGGGCGGGGTGGGTGTGGAGCTAGAGACAGCAGGGGTTAAAACTGTAGAACCCTGTTCCTAGATTTGAATATAAAAAATGATTTTATCAAACAAAACTATGCTACATTTTATCTCTGGGACCCTTAGGATGACAAATCAGAGCAAGATTACTGAATGCAAGTACAATATTTACCTTCAGAGGTGAATGTATCAAACCAGTTGCCGTGATAAGTTCTTTGTTGTTGTGCAGTCTCCTCAAATAATAGCATGGTATTTTTTCACTGTAATAGCTACTGTAAATCGGACAGTGCAGTTAGATCCCATGGGAAATAGGCCTATGGGAGTTTTTTAATTGCTCCGGAGTTGAGAATATGACCATTATAGGGGCCTATATGGGTCATTCCACCAATTCGGTGCCTTTTGAGTAGTGTAACTTTGTAAACAATTTTGTTTCGATTTCACCAGATTTTTACATTCTGTCATAAAGAGCACATGTTCAACTTCATAAAAAACACATTTTCCCATCTCAAGAGGTTAAATAAAACAAATGACTAGTAAGTGCCTATTAAAGGAGAAGTTAGCTTTTTCTTACAACCAAATCTCAATTTTTAATGTAAATGGCATGATATAGAATGGTCCAGACACTTTTTTTGTGATTTCACTTATTTTTGAGAAACTTTCCCCAACCAGCAATTGACTTCCTCATTTTTGTTGTGCAGTACTGGGGCTCTGAAAAACATGAACAAATGCTCCAAAAACATCCAAATACATATTTATAGATACAGAAACGCTCTCAGTATAGTGATGCAGGTTTAGGTGTTGTACACATGAAAGTGTGTCATTCCAAACTTTATCCGCAACGCTATATTCCATTTTGTGTGCAACTCGAGCTATTTCCCCTATCCAGCTGCCTGCTGCTTAAGTGGACTGAGAGGTATCGCTCGAGTCACAACAAAATGTAATATAACAGGGTTGACGATTTATTCTTAAATCAGCCATAAATCCCCTTGTGACAGGGCAAATAGAAGCTTGGTGTTTGCAACAGGGAGTGGCAATTGAATACATTCCAAACTTTATCTGCAACGTTATATTACATTTTGTGTGCGACTCGAGCTATTTCCCCTATCCAGCTGCCTGCTGCTTAAGTGGACTGAGAGGTATCGCTCGAGTCACAACAAAATGTAATATAACAGGGTTGACGATTTAATCTTAAATCAGCCATAAATCCTCTTGTGATAGGGTGAATGGACAAAAAACATTATAGCCTGTTTTATCTATGGGTACCAGGGGTTGATGTGTTATGCTCGATCCTTTCAGTTTTCCACCACAAAACACCAGAAAATGGCCAAAAAGAGTAAAACCAGCTCACCTGCTTTTACACTATTAAATGTTCAATATTTCTTTTTTGAATAATAAAAAAAAAGGAATAGTTTCACCATATTAAAACAAGAGTTCAGTTCATGTAACAGGGTTGACCTTAAAAAAAGGGACAGTAAATTAATCACTAATCACATTAAATAAATAATAATCTCCAGAAATGACTTTGTCAAAGCAACAAAATAACTAGGGCCCGGTTTCCTGATAGTGATGGAACTTAGGCTTATGAGTGTTTTAACAATGCATCTTTCCTACAACGGCCGAAGACGTAACATACATTTCCCAAAACACCATGTAGAGAGAACGTTTGCTATGTGCGTTGAGGCATGTGTCGATAATGATAGGATCGAAAGGCAACACTGTTCTCGGATCAGCTTTGTCCATTAAAATCTTACCTTAACATTATAATTATTCCACAATACTGACGATGGATCATCTAGAAATATATTATCACCTATGGCTGCAAATATCGAGGCGGCTTATTCTAATGCTTACCCTATAATAATGCACTAAATTAAGATTTGGCACATCATTGCGCACGTTAGGCTACACATCATTAAATATATTGAGACAAATTACAGACAGTAGCAAAATATAACTCAATTGATTGAACATCATTAAATGTATTTCAATATGATTGAATTAGGCCTAGCCTATAGCCTACTGTATTTATATTTTAATGCAGTCATCTCGGTTTGAATTTGAAGCCTTTTTATACGTTGCTTGTTTGTATCAATTGCAAAGACAATGGCAACTTTGTATTTGTAGTCAATATTGTTCTGAAGTTATCAGTGGTCACATAGAGGCTGATACACCATGTGATTTTATGTTTAGCGGAGCTCTTCTATGTATTAAGTGACACGGGAGGGCAAAAAAGCATCTAGCGACACACTTTGCTGTTTTATGAGTGGTCTGTTTTGGGAAACAGCTCTGAGATTTAACGATGCTCCTACAAGGTTCTAACGATGAACCTAGCATTAAGATGCTTTTGGGAAACTGGGTCTAGGGCTTTACAATGATGGTGAAAACTCAGAGAAATATTAGGGTTAAGTGCGTTAAAATGTTCTTAGAAGTCACAGAGGGTGCACAGAGGGACATGCCAAAATTGTGAATTTATTGAATTCTCCATGTGGTCTATATTAAAGGACACTTCATTTAATATAACAGGCTTTTAAGATTCAATATTCTTGCACAATTTCTACTTAGAATATCAAAGTGACACAAAAGGCACACTTTTCGTGGACCAACACACATCCAAAGACCCAAAAAATGAACAGATGAACACATTTTTGATATGCAGAAGGGAGGAATTGCATAGCCTATGTTGCATAGCCTATATTGATTAAATGATGGTGGCTTCATGGCAAAGAGTTGCTAATGTTACAACACAAACAGAAGTGGATAGCTAAATATATTTGGCTAGCTACAAGGAGGGAAAGCATAGCTAACTGATTTGCTTTCTATCTAACTTGCTGTATGGGTTAACTAGCTATCATATTTTGTGAGAGAGGGGTATTAATAAGCCGTTAAGAAGGGGAGACGAGGACAATGAGTTGGCCAAATGTAGCTACCTAGGTATCTAGCTACTGCTGGTGAATAGCTAGTCATTGGTGTGTGCGCATGTAGCTAACTAACCTTAGTTATGTAGCTAGCTAGCTAACATTAGCTACTCTGGGTAACGTTACTTGCAGTCAGATGCTAAGTTACCTAGCTAGTAAACAAGGTGGGAAAGCATAGCTTGCTGGTTTGCTAACTAGCTAACTAGCTTGCTGTAGGTATCCAACTATCATATTTAGCTAGCTAGCTAAAGAGAGGGGAATGAGATTGCCTAAATGTACCTACCGTTGGTGCACCAGCAAACACTTTTCTGCCGTGATACATTTGATTACTGCACCATTTGTATTTCTCTGAACAACAATATAAACTCAAAATATGCAAAAATATAAAGTAATTTAAAAGATTTTACTGAGTTACAGTTCATATAAGGAAATCAGTCAATTGAAATACATTCATTAGGCCTTAATCTATAGATTTCAATACAGATACACATCTGTTGGTCACAGATACCTTAAAAAAAAGGTAAGGACGTGGATCAGAAACCCAGTCAGTATCTGGTGTGACCACCATTTGCCTCATGCTGCGCGACACATCTCTGTTGCATAGAGTTGATCAGGCTGTTGATTGTGGTCTGTGGAATGTTGTCCCACTCCTCTTCAATGGCTGTGCGAAGTTGGTGGGAACTGGAACACGCTGAAACATGAGGTGATGGCGGCAAATGAATGGCATGACAATGGGC